CACCTTTTTTACTCCACAACCTACCTGGATTACGTAAATCACAAAGAACATAGTCAATAATCACTCAAAACCAAACTCATACAGCTCAAATTAAACAATCTGAATCAGGACAACATTTCAAACCACCTGCCATTCTAACAGCACATTCCTTATTTCACTGCCACATAGCGCATATCTACACTGATAACACACCTAATTGCGGTGAGGCAGCATCATAAAGTTACCAATATCAAATATGTTTGCAGATCAGGGCCAGTCGACTCGACAATAAAATTTTAATCGAATAGTTTTAATAGATAACATCACAATTATAATCTGCGTGCCCCTCGGGGATGAATATTTAACTTATTTCAATTATATATTACTTTTGAGTAAACATTGGCTGGTACTACGGACCAGTCCCCCAATCAATCATATGATTCATGTACCAACGCTACACCCAGGAAACCTTACTATATACTGGCTGGGGCCTAACTTCGAAAGTAAAAGAGTTCAAGTAAAAAGAATTCAATATTCTTTCAGAACCAATTGGTAGATTATATTTATTGTCCACCACATCTGCAGAGCTCAAGTTTAACAATGTTAAGTTAAATTTTGCTAAGTCACTAAAAATGTGACAGAATTAACATTTTTTACCCCAACAATATAAATTTAATACGGAAAACTGGTATGGACTGCTATATTTCTTGTTCTTGTCTGCCCTATTTTTTGTCCGTCTTGAAAATATAAGGTACCGCACGGACAAAAAAAACATGAGCTGGGGCTTCCACCGTTCAATTAATGTCCGTTCAAATAAAGTACGACAAGGTACGTTTAAAAGTAAATGTGCTTTTTGCGGAAATATAGTGCGCGCTGTAAATGTGATACGCCCACTATACTTTTAGTTAGGGCAAGAGTTGATTTTTCTGTGAACAAATTCGTAACAAAGGTTTGTCTACTGGAATGTGTTGTCCATAGTCCCAGGAACCACAAAAAAAAACCGTCCAGCTGAAACTTTTGGGCAAAAATTTTTATAGTCATTTTTCTCCAGGAACCCATACGCCCCACCCCTAATATTGGTTATTCGGCTCCCGAAGGTCTTGAGATCTCCATAGGGGGTGCAAAATGACCGCAATGGCCACATTATGGCAGGCGAATGATAGTTTCAGAACGATTGGGGCTTTATTTTTCGAAATAAATGGAATTTTTCGAAATTTTTCTCAATTTTATTGAAATTTCGAAAAAAATACACCAAATTATTTTTAACGCTTATTTCAAATCTTACTCGGGAAATAACTTCAATTAACAAATATCAAGGCTTACTAACAAACAACAGATTATTGACCAACCCCCAGACAGCTATTCGACGGTACATGCTACTCTGGTTGAATGTCTTAAGTTATCCTACAGTGAGCCGATGATAATCACATTCGATTTGCCATTGTGGATTAAGGCCACCCGAATAGTACTGGAAACTGGGATGCCTATTGTGGTCAGGCTTGGGGGCTTCCACACTCTCACGAGTTTTCTTGGCTGCATAGGCTATATAATGGCAGACTCGGGTTTAGAGGAGCTCATCAAACTCGTGTATCCTGGAGACGTCACGCAAATATCGGATGGAGGATCTTACTATAAAGCGTTGAGAGCCCACTTTCTGATCGACGCCGCTCTTTGTTGTTTCATTATAGAGGAAGAAGTTTACGACGATGAACTAGTAGACTTGGAAGGTTACATCAACAAATGTGTGAACGAAAATATAGGTGTTAACTTTAAGACTAAATCTATTCAGGATCTATCAGAGAAAATAACTCTGCTTCTAAAGAACCTGTTTTCAAACAGTAGAACAGCAGCTCTATGGGTTACTTACCACAACATGATAACACTAGTAAAGGACTTCATAAGAGCAGAGAGGTTGCACGACTACAATATGCATTTATCAGCAGTAGCTTTGATGCTGCCCTACTTCGCAGCAGCTGGGAGGGGACAGTATGCAACAGCTTTAAGACTGTATTTGGAGCAGGATGCCATTTTTAAAGTCAAGTATGGGGCGCTATAAAGACCTTTAAAGTAACTGGGCTTCACACGGTTTGTTACAACGACCACGAGTGGGCCGGAGTGTGGACTGACCTCTCCATAGCATAGAGCAGAGTCTTATGAGGGCAGCTAAATCTAGTGGTGGATTAACAAGTGGAAGGATGCTTAATCGTGAGTCTGCTCACATGAAGTTATGGGTGGCCACCCTGAATCAGATGGCTTTAATAAATCAGTCTTTTGGAGATTCATTAGCTAATTCATCGAAGCGAGGAGTACCAACTAAAGCTGCCATCCACTCAGATCTTACCAAGTCATCAATCAAGAAAAACTGTGATGTATTTGGAAAATTATTAACTTGGTTTAAAGTTACTGTCGACTTTACAGAATCCGAAGATAAGACTAAGTTAATATCTTTTTCGACTGGTCTTATATCACAGCCTGGGAACGATGAGGTGAATCCCGAGGAATGTTTGGCCGTTGGGGCTGTCCTTCAACGTGAGCTAGATGGGTTGACATTCATCGATAAGATAAGTATCAAAGGTAAAGCAAAGAATTTGACACAACTAAGAAAGCAGGTTAAAGTGAATAATAAAAGCGTTGCAGTCGATCCGTTGAAGTGTTTTAACCGTCTAGTCTTGGTTGCTGATAGAGAGACTTCAATAGAGGAATGCCTAACATACGAGTTAACTGTGGTGCCGATGAGCTTATTTGATCAATATCAGATGATGAGGAAATCTAATAAGGCTGCTCTTGGTATAAACCAATCTACACTTAAATCTTGCAGCTTCACGATCCCACTAGTCATTGATGGAGGTTGGCTAATTCACCAACTAAGCTCATTTAAAGGGTGGGACAATTATGGTGAGGTAGCAATGGAGTACTTGAAGCTTATCCCTAAAAATCGGGAAGTTACTGTGATTTTTGATGGATATGAGCCTTCTACTAAAGATCACGAGCACAAGAGGAGAGTAAAAGCGTTCTGTGCTAATATTGCTGTAAAGAAATCCACCTTTTGTACTGTCACCAAAACAACATTTCTGAGCAACAACAATAACAAAAAAGAACTGATCGACCTTATCTCAAGCATTTTTACTGTAAATGGTATTGAAGGGATCAGAGCTTGTAACGATGCTGATACTTTAATTGCAAAGAAAACATTGGAAATGTCATTCCTTGGCGATGTTGAATTGAAGGCAGAGGATACCGATATAGTTCAAGTCTATTAGTACATCATTTCAACAGTGACCATCACAATGATATTTATCTAACAACGAAGAAGGGTAAATATTCAATCAAAGAAATATCAAGTCATCTAGATCATAAAGAAAAGGAGATACTTCTTCTAATTCATAGTATTTCAGGTTGTGATAGCGTCAGTGGACTGTTTGGTTTTAGCAAGGTTAAAGTGCTAAAGAAAGCTCTCACCTTTGATGAGCAAGGTCAGTTGGCAACATTACTTTCGGTGAGAGAATCAAAAGAAAAGATTATTGAGGCAGGCCTCTGTTTCTTGCAGTACATTTATGGTGACAAGAAAAAGACTCTTTCTGCTTTGAGATTCCTAGCATACAATAGGATGGTAGCGAAAAAGAGTCTCAATCCGAATAGGCTACCTCCAACAATAGCTTCAGCAACGGAGCACATCCTTAGAGCTTACTTACAGTACCATAACTGAGTCATGCTTAACGCTGACAGTCTGAATCCCCTTGACTACGGCTGGAAATTGGCTCCTGGTGGCACTTACGAACCAGTTGCACCAGAGTCTATTTTGAACCTTATATGTTGTAACTGTTCTGTCGATGTGGAACAGGCCTGTTTGACTTTCAGATGTTCATGTAGGAAATATGGCTTCAATTGTTTGCCAGCTTGTTGTATGGTATGAACTGCACAAACATTAGACATGATGAACCTGAAGAACAAGCGAATTTTGATTAATATTAACTGTGTATTAATAATTGTCATGGTACTTACTGAGAATACACATTTTAGATTAACCGTATTTGTTATTTGTAGATAAGTTTTTAAATAGATTCGAAATAAGCGTAAAAAATAATTTTGTGTATTTTTTTCGAAATTTCAATAAAATTGAGAAAAAATTCGAAAAATTCCATTTATTTCGAAAAATAAAGCTCCAATCGTTCTGAAACTATCATTCGCCTGCCATAATGTGGCCATTGCGGTCATTTTGCACACCCTATGGAGATCTCAAGACCTTCGGGAGCCGAATAACCAATATTAGGGGTGGGGCGTATGGGTTCCTGGAGAAAAATGACTATAAAAATTTTTGCCCAAAAGTTTCAGCTGGACGGTTTTTTTTGGTGGTTCCTGGGACCATGGACAACACATTCCTGTAGACAAACCTTTGTTACGAATTTGTTCACAGATTGACCCATAAACAGCAATTCTTGCCCTAACTATTTATTTACGTAACTTATCACATTTATATTTCCGCAAAAAGTACCATACGTTTTTAGTGTTGTAATTAATTTATGAACCATATTAAAATAAACACTTATTTATTATTTGTATGACGAAAATATTACTTTTAAGTATAACAATCACATGAGAATTATTTACATGAATATGATACAGTCTGTACAAAATAACATCTTTTAAATTTGTCTAGTAACCCTGCTACTAGATAATATTTGTTTCTTAATACACAGGAGTAAAATAAACGATTATAAAATCTCTGGTTATAAATTGAAATGAAGTTAAATAAATATAAGAATAAACACAATATACTAATATCACACTATATATATATATATATACTAATATCATATTTACACTATAATAATGTCTGTCTGAAATGTGACAAAATCCTGACTACTAGTATTATATGTAATATGTAATCGTTATCACTTTATCAGGGCGTTAAACTGTAAACAATCAGTTAGTTACACATCAGTTAGTAGTAGTGACTCATTAGTTAGTAGTAGTTACACATCAGTAAGTAGTAGTTACACTTTAATTAGTAGTAGTTACTCATTAACAGAAGCTAATTATTACAACTCTAGGTTGGGTAGCCCGAACTCCCTAAGCTTCCCAATGTTGCGCAGCTGTACCATCTCACAACTCTTCTGCCAGCGGGATTGTGCTTGCTCTAACTTGCCTGCTACCGCGTCCATAGCTTCTATCAGAATACTCTCATACTTCTTCTCCATATCACTCTGTAATAATAATACATTACATACTACATTACATTACATACTACATTACATTACATACTACATTACATACTACATTACATACTACATTACATTAACTAGCCCGTAGCCGTGTTACTCTAAAGTGGTGTATAGAGAAAACAATGCTTATTTAATTTGTCAATTTTTTATTACCATTTCCCTTTCCATTTTCTCGACAGCATCATCGTACTTCTTCTGTAGATCTGATTTAGCTTTCTCTGTCTCATCTAATTTACTCTTAGTAGTATCCAGCTGAACCTGAAATCATGTACTGTTACTAGAGTGTGTATAGTAGTGTGTATAGTAGTGTGTATAGTAGAGAGTATAGTAGTGTGTATAGTAGTGTGTATAGTAGTGTGTATAGTAGAGAGTATAGTAGTGTGTATAGTAGAGAGTATAGTAGTGTGTATAGTAGTGTGTATAGTAGAGTGTATACTAATGTGTATAGTAGAGTGTATAGTATTGTGTTGTATTAATATTGTACATGTTATTTACCTGCATGTGAGCGAGGCTTGTCTCCAGCAAATGTATCCGTAGCGCCATTGTACTCTGCATGGTTTTGTATTGCCTGACCATGTCCGCGGATATATCTAGCTTCTCCTCCTGCTCCTCCTTCACTACGTTCTCCCATTCTGATACCTGTAATGCAATAGTATGTACAATGTAATGTATGTACATTTGTACAATCACATCAATATCAACCTTAACGACACCTTCGTTTGGGAACCAACTTTGTTTACAATTTACTGGTTAATGTTAACTCAAGAATTTATACATACAATAATATACAATAATTATATACCTAAATCTGCTGATATAAAACCAAAATAACTCCGTAATATGTATGTAAAGCTGTAGTACATACATATTTGATATTACATTGCGATGAAAACTTGGAACATTTTTACCCCCCCCCCCCCCCCCCCCCCCCCTGCAATCAGTTTCATAGCTATTGTGTCAAAATTACATTAGCGTAATCATTTAGAACCCCCCCCCCCTCAGCTGATTACGTAATATGTAAAGGACCCCTTATCAAGGCGTACGTTTATAAAAGGCGCGGCATTTCATCTCAATGTAATATGTATGTACTACGGCTTAAGAATATACACCGCACGAAATTATGGACCTGGAAGTAAGATTAAATACTTCAGCTTAATACACAAATCAAAACAAAATTCTAGAAGACTGACAGTCTTGTATTGAAAGACGAATATGATTTAGAAGCTCAAGTTGATCTGAAATAATGATAACCTAAAAGTACGGGCTATGAATACCTTTAATTTAAGATCGTTTGCCTTGGCGTTATTTCTTCGGGCAAGTTCAGACCTTGTCTCGAGTTCGTGTTTCAAGGAATCCACTTCTTGTAAAGTTTTGTTGTACTTATCTTTTACTGTCAATTCGCCCGGTTCACCCTTCTTTCCTTTTTTCTTCCCCTTCTTCTTTTTTGGAGGCATCACGCTAGACAAGTTGTCAAGTTAAGTCCGCTAATAGTGTCGGTTGTGCTTAGATTTTAATAGAATATGATAAAAACTGGTGAGGCGAGAAATAAGAGTATGCCTTATCTTAAGAGATAAGAATTGAATTAAGGAGGAGGCTAATGTACTTTTCACACATCAGCTGATGTCACGTTCGGAAGAAAATGAACGACCGAATTTTCGCGCGAAAATTTTTCAGAGGTAGTGCTGACAGGAGTTAGTAATATTTTGGACGCGCGTTACAAATATTCCAGCCGTTTGGCCACGAAAGTTGGAGTGTCACAGAAGACGTTTCCCTGAATTTTGTAGTGGATTTTGTAGTGGATTTTGCGCGCCGCACGTACGTTACAATATTTATTATTGTAGAATCTACGACGGTAGAAGTCAGAAGTCTCAATAAACTGCTCGTACTTATACTTTTATATACACTTATAAGATATGAAAATCTAAGTAACACATCAACCCCACTCAGGCCGCCTATCCCAAATAGCTTGAAATCTGTGACAAATCCCTAAAAATCCAGAATGAGAATCTTTACCCCTGGGCCCTGAAGGGGATTTGTGCTGCTGTATATTTGAAACATGATTGGTGGTTAAATAGGTAGTACATACCCCTAACCATCACAAAGACTAAGTTTTAAGCTCTTGAACCACTCAAGCCACTCCCAGAGGCCATGCCAATCCCAAAATGACTGAAATCCTCGTAAAGTCCAGATCGAGAATCTTTACCCCTGTAGTGCTTTTATGTTCCGGGGTAGGTGGGACATGTTTTAGTTTAAAAATGGGTTCTACCTGTTCCAAACCATCATAAAAATCAAGTTTCGACCTCTCAACCCACTCAGGCCACTGCCAGGGGCCACGCCCATCCCAAAATTACCGAAATCCAGCTAAAAAGCTAAAATCCAGACTTTAAAATCTTTACCCCTGTAGTGCTTTTATGTTCCGGGGTAGGTGGGACATGTTTTAGTTTTAAAATGGGTTCTATCTGTCCCCAACCATCATAAAAATCAAGTTTCGACCTCTTAACCCAATAAGGCCACTCCCAGGGGCCACGCCCATCCCAAAATTACCGAAATCCAGCTAAAATCCAGACTTTAAAATCTTTACCCCTGTAGTGCTTTTATGTTCCGGGGTAGGTGGGACATGTTTTAGTTTAAAAATGGGTTCTACCTGTTCCAAACCATCATAAAAATCAAGTTTTGACCTCTCAACCCACTCAGGCCACTCCCAGGGGCCACGCCCATCCCAAAATTACCGAAATCCAGCTAAAATCCAGACTTTAAAATCTTTACCCCTGTAGTGCTTTTATGTTCCAGGGTAGGTGGGACATGTTTTAGTTTTAAAATGGGTTCTACCTGTCCCAAACCATCATAAAAATCAAGTTTCGACCTCTCAACCCACTCAGGCCACTCCCAGGGGCCACGCCCATCCCAAAATTACCGAAATCCAGCTAAAATCCAGACTTTAAAATCTTTACCCCTGTAGTGCTTTTATGTTCCGGGGTAGGTGGGACATGTTTTAGTTTTAAAATGAGTTCTACCTGTCCCAAACCATCATAAAAATCAAGTTTCGACCTCTCAACCCAATCAGGCCACTCCCAGGGGCCACGCCCATCCCAAAATTACCGAAATCCAGCTAAAATCCAGACTTTAAAATCTTTACCCCTGTAGTGCTTTTATGTTCCGGGGTAGGTGGGACATGTTTTAGTTTAAAAATGGGTTCTACCTGTTCCAAACCATCATAAAAATCAAGTTTCGACCTCTCAACCCACTCAGGCCACTGCCAGGGGCCACGCCCATCCCAAAATTACCGAAATCCAGCTAAAATCCAGACTTTAAAATCTTTACCCCTGTAGTGCTTTTATGTTCCGGGGTAGGTGGGACATGTTTTAGTTTTAAAATGGGTTCTATCTGTCCCAAACCATCATAAAAATCAAGTTTCGACCTCTTAACCCAATAATACCACTCCCAGGGGCCACGCCCATCCCAAAATTACCGAAATCCAGCTAAAATCCAGACTTTAAAATCTTTACCCCTGTAGTGCTTTTATGTTCCGGGGTAGGTGGGACATGTTTTAGTTTAAAAATGGGTTCTACCTGTTCCAAACCATCATAAAAATCAAGTTTTGACCTCTCAACCCACTCAGGCCACTCCCAGGGGCCACGCCCATCCCAAAATTACCGAAATCCAGCTAAAATCCAGACTTTAAAATCTTTACCCCTGTAGTGCTTTTATGTTCCGGGGTAGGTGGGACATGTTTTAGTTTAAAAATGGGTTCTACCTGTCCCAAACCATCATAAAAATCAAGTTTCGACCTCTCAACCAACTAAGGCCACTCCCAGGGGCCACGCCCATCCCAAAATTACCGAAATCCAGCTAAAATCCAGACTTTAAAATCTTTACCCCTGTAGTGCTTTTATGTTCCGGGGTAGGTGGGACATGTTTTAGTTTAAAAATGGGTTCTACCTGTTCCAAACCATCATTAAAATCAAGTTTCGACCTCTCAACCCACTCAGGCCACTGCCAGGGGCCACGCCCATCCCAAAATTACCGAAATCCAGCTAAAATCCAGACTTTAAAATCTTTACCCCTGTAGTGCTTTTATGTTCCGGGGTAGGTGGGACATGTTTTAGTTTTAAAATGGGTTCTATCTGTCCCAAACCATCATAAAAATCAAGTTTCGACCTCTTAACCCAATAAGGCCACTCCCAGGGGCCACGCCCATCCCAAAATTACCGAAATCCAGCTAAAATCCAGACTTTAAAATCTTTACCCCTGTAGTGCTTTTATGTTCCGGGCTAGGTGGGACATGTTTTAGTTTAAAAATGGGTTCTACCTGTTCCAAACCATCATAAAAATCAAGTTTTGACCTCTCAACCCACTCAGGCCTATTTTGATTTACATTTTTAAACTAAAACATGTCCCACCTACCCCGGAACATAAAAGCACTACAGGGGTAAAGATTTTAAAGTCTGGATTTAGCTGGATTTCGGTCATTTTGGGATGGGCGTGGCCCCTGGGAGTGGCCCGAGTGGGTTGAGAGGTCGAAACTTGATTTTTATGATGGTTTGGGACAGGCAGAACCCATTTTTAAACTAAAACATGTCCCACCTACCCCGGAACATAAAAGCACTACAGGGGTAAAGATTTTAAAGTCTGGATTTAGCTGGATTTCGGTCATTTTGGGATGGGTGTGGCCCCTGGGAGTGGCCCGAGTGGGTTGAGAGGTCGAAACTTGATTTTTATGATGGTTTGGGACAGGCAGAACCCATTTTTAAACTAAAACATGTCCCACCTACCCCGGAACATAAAAGCACTACAGGGGTAAAGATTTTAAAGTCTGGATTTAGCTGGATTTCGGTCATTTTGGGATGGGCGTGGCCCCTGGGAGTGGCCCGAGTGGGTTGAGAGGTCGAAACTTGATTTTTATGATGGTTTGGGACAGGCAGAACCCATTTTTAAACTAAAACATGTCCCACCTACCCCGGAACATAAAAGCACTACAGGGGTAAAGATTTTAAAGTTTGGATTTAGCTGGATTTCGGTCATTTTGGGATGGTCGTGGCCCCTGGGAGTGGCCCGAGTGGGTTGAGAGGTCGAAACTTGATTTTTATGATGGTTTGGGACAGGCAGAACCCATTTTAAAACTAAAACATGTCCCACCTACCCCGGAACATAAAAGCACTACAGGGGTAAAGATTTTAAAGTCTGGATTTAGCTGGATTTCGGTCATTTTGGGATGGGCGTGGCCCCTGGGAGTGGCCCGTTTGGGTTGAGAGGTCGAAACTTGATTTTTATGATGGTTTGGGACAGGCAGAACCCATTTTTAAACTAAAACATGTCCCACCTACCCCGGAACATAAAAGCACTACAGGGGTAAAGATTTTAAAGTCTGGATTTAGCTGGATTTCGGTCATTTTGGGATGGGCGTGGCCCCTGGGAGTGGCCCGAGTGGGTTGAGAGGTCGAAACTTGATTTTTATGATGGTTTGGGACAGGCAGAACCCATTTTTAAACTAAAACATGTCCCACCTACCCCGGAACATAAAAGCACTACAGGGGTAAAGATTTTAAAGTCTGGATTTAGCTGGATTTCGGTCATTTTGGGATGGGCGTGGCCCCTGGGAGTGGCCCGAGTGGGTTGAGAGGTCGAAACTTGATTTTTATGATGGTTTGGGACAGGCAGAACCCATTTTTAAACTAAAACATGTCCCACCTACCCCGGAACATAAAAGCACTACAGGGGTAAAGATTTTAAAGTTTGGATTTAGCTGGATTTCGGTCATTTTGGGATGGTCGTGGCCCCTGGGAGTGGCCCGAGTGGGTTGAGAGGTCGAAACTTGATTTTTATGATGGTTTGGGACAGGCAGAACCCATTTTAAAACTAAAACATGTCCCACCTACCCCGGAACATAAAAGCACTACAGGGGTAAAGATTTTAAAGTCTGGATTTAGCTGGATTTCGGTCATTTTGGGATGGGCGTGGCCCCTGGGAGTGGCCCGTTTGGGTTGAGAGGTCGAAACTTGATTTTTATGATGGTTTGGGACAGGCAGAACCCATTTTTAAACTAAAACATGTCCCACCTACCCCGGAACATAAAAGCACTACAGGGGTAAAGATTTTAAAGTCTGGATTTAGCTGGATTTCGGTCATTTTGGGATGGGCGTGGCCCCTGGGAGTGGCCCGAGTGGGTTGAGAGGTCGAAACTTGATTTTTATGATGGTTTGGGACAGGCAGAACCCATTTTTAAACTAAAACATGTCCCACCTACCCCGGAACATAAAAGCACTACAGGGGTGAAAAGCACTACAAATCCACTACAAAAATCAAGGAAACGTGCTCTCGAGTGTCAACTGGCAAGCACTGAATAAGACTTCATAAATAAGCAATAAAAGACGAGAATTCTATCCAATTCAAACTACATATCAACACTTTTCAAAATAAGTTATTTAAAAGTTGTTATAAATTCATCAACGTTTTAAAAGACTCCAAAGATTCATAAAAAAGCTCAGGTCACACCATATATGGTAGTATTACCACACACCATATATGGTAGTATTACCATGGTAACACCATATTAACCTTCCTCAGCCAAACCGCATATTTGAGTTATTTTGCTCCGCTGAAAAGAGCCTTATTTCAAATAACTTTATTTCATCAAATATATAGAATCTACAATAACTTTCATCACAAAATTCTTGGCTACAAAAAGAGTTGGAAAAGTTAAACCTCAACTTTCCATTTCACGAGGTGGAAGTTTGGTGAAACAAAATAGATGTTACGTAATAGTTGTCATGGTAACAAAAGTCTTATCAGAAGAGTAAAAACTAACAACACGTATCTAACTACCGGACACTTGCAGAGAGCTCAGCACCGTACGCTCATTCTCAGTTAGCGCCTGTAATGGTGAAATAGTGAAATATTGCAGAGAAATAGTGAAATATTGCAGAGAAATAGTGAAATATTGCAGATAAATAGGGAAATATTGCAGAGAAATAGCGAAATATTGCCGAGAAATAGTGAAATATTGCAGATAAATAGTGAAATTGACAGAGATTTAGCGAAATTTACAAATATTTGGTGAAATTTACAAAGATTTAGTGTAATTTACAAAGATTTGGTGTAATTTACAATGATTTGATGTAATTTACAAAGTGATGGTAGTGTCAACGGTGTTAAAGGTGATCCAGCAAGTGTTAAAGGTGTTAAAGGTGACCCAGCAAGTGTTAAAGGTGTTAAAGGTGATCCAGCAAGTGTTAAAGGTGATCCAGCAAGTGTTAAAGGTGTTAAAGGTGATCCAGCAAGGTGTTAAAGGTGATCCAGCAAGTGTTAAAGCTTTAAAGGTGTTAAAGGTGATCCAGCAAGTGTTAAAGCTTTAAAGGTGTTAAAGGTGATACAGCAAGTGTTAAAAGTGTTAAAGGTGTTAAAGGTGATACAGCAAGTGTTAAAGGTGTTAAAGGTGTAATAGAAGAAGTAACTACCAGACAGAGCTGATTGTAGGTGTTATGAGTGGACAGCTGAGTTAGGAACTGTTGGAGATGACTGTGTAGATCTACTTCGTTCAGTGGGTCGTCTTTAGTGTCTTCGTCCTGAATAATTTCATAAATATACACTAATATACATATTAATAATTATACACATTAGTGTTGATGTATATTACACATTAGTGCTGATGTATATTACACATTAGTGTTGATGTACATTACACATTAGTATTAATGTACATTATACATTAACGCTTACACGCCGATCAGTGACTTGTATATAACCAGTTAATTAATTAATCAGCTAATTGTTGATAATTAACGAGTTAGTAAACCTCATCATCGTCATCTCCCAACATATGAGCAAGTTGAGCGATAGAAACGAACTGAGTTTCCACATCCTCCTCCTCCTCATCATCCTCCTCGTCACTAATGTCTCCGTTCCTCTCTGCTTCTAATTCCTCCAGCACGTTACCTGTAATTAAGTACCTTACTGGACACTATTTCCTCGGATGTAACTGTAATGACTCGCTGTGTATCTGGTTAGTGCAGGTGCCTATAGGGGGTGTAGGGAACCCCCCCCCCCCCCAGCTCAGATGTATGATCTAGTGAAGTAGTAGGGAGTAGTGTAATTCACCTGATCTCACGTAATGAGTACAGGTGGTATATCCTAAACAGGAAGAATTAAATAGAATTTAACCGATATTATATCCACAGATATCCGGTTTAAAGTAATTTCCTAGCATATTATACTCTAGTAGCAGGGTGTAGTAGGATATTAGCTTCAGAATTTACGTGATGATCTAACTGATTTATCAACATCTAATTACGTTAACTACTTCATCTAATGATATCATTATACCTAAACTTATCGGTATTCCAACTTATCATTACAACTTACATTTCAACTACACGACTCTGTGAACATTCCAGAGAGAAATGTAAAACTAGAATGTATTGAGAAATGTAAAACTAGTACAATGTATTTGTCAACAAAAATTAAATTGATTTAGAAAATAATATTTTGGTAAATTTTTTTGACCCCTTACCCCCCCCCCCCCCCCCCCTGGCCTTAACACTATACACACTACACTCACTACACACTTTAGATTTGTTTGGAGAGGCGAATCATTCACAGTTTAGGCTCTTGAAATCTTCGAATTAAAAATCATCTTGAGAGAACCTCCTCAAATTATTTGTTATATAGTAGTGTTGAAAGTATTAAACACACTACACACTATATAGTACACTATATAGTACACCCCAGTAATTCTTCCCGCCATTTAAAGAAGCGGCAACCAGCTTAGTGATTTACACGGCTTACAGTGTAGCACTATATTATATATACACGTAGAAATCAACAGTTGACATACGCCACTTCTAGCTTTCTATCTGCACATTAGAGGGAGAAATAACGCAGAGCAAGTTAGATACAGGGTGAGTGAAAAAAACACTACACTTTGTAATTTAATAATTTAAATTAGAAAGCTTATCTCAACCTTTCTGAAAATTTCTAGTCAATAAGTCTGGACCTTTTCCTGATAGTAGCCGAAGAGTTTTTAAGAATCGGCCAAATATTTTTTCCACAATCAGCAACCCCTTGGAATACCCATTTAGAAATCCTTGCATTTCTCAATTTAACCCTAATATTCGGTTATCTAATTAGGACTCCAAATAAAAATATATGGTATTCTGAATGTCGATTTACCGCGCCCCAATTTACCACAAACCCCGATAATCGATATACCGCGGTCATCTCCTTTCCCCTAAATAGGGCTTAACATGTATAATGTAAACAAACAAACCCCGATTTACCGCGGATGCATCGGATGTTTCCTTTCCCCCAAACCCCGCTGTAAATCGGGGTTTTACTGTACATGTCAATATGATATCTACTTGCAAAGTAACGGCTCATGATTGTGTAACATTAAAACTAACCGAACTCCTGTACGAGTATCTTGAATATCTTGACAGTGATAGGTATCATAGTGGGACCCTGTTGAGCTTTAGTGGAACGTGTAATCCTCCCCCCTTCTAGCGATATCTCCTCATCAGATACCATTATGTGAGTGAGGGGTGAATCCTGGGCCAGGAGGTGGGGCAGGAACTTAGTGAGGGCTATTACTGCTACCTTAGTTTCATACTCCCCTGTAAACATCTCCTGGATCTCACACCTGGAAATAGATTTATATTATATTATAGTATTATATAAGTACTTTATATTACACCTGGCAGGGAAATAGTTTTATATTATATTATATAAGTACTTTATATTATACTAGAAAGCCCGTGATCACAGTTTACCTAATTTGTGGGCGGTCGTACATTATACATTTTTATACAGCAGAAATAATTTTTTCAGTTATAGTAGAGATTATATTTAAGTACTAAGTACTTTATATTATAATATTATATAAGTACTAAGTACTTTAAATATTATATTAGCTGAATTTAAAATACACGTGTATAGTGTATACTTTATATTATAGTACTTTATATTATATTAGCTGAATTTAAAATACACGTGTATTTTAAAAGCTCCTGCTAAAACAAACTTTTCGTATCACTTATATGTATTTTTCTCCTGTATTTGCCGAATTTTTTCGAAAAATACGGGAAATGTTATAATTAATCTGTTTTAAAGCTAGGGTCCAACACTCGAAACTGCAAATGTAAGTAACCCTAACAAACCTAACAAAGTAACAAACCATGATTTTAGAACGAAGACGAGACCGTTTTCTCCAGATGGTGTGTTGATGGACTGAAGGAAGGACATGGAACCTTCTAGATCGTGGTTAAAGAGCTTAATAAATACTACTAACAGGCTCTGCTGGATTGTAGGTGACTCACTGAAAGTTAACTATGATAAAGTGAAACAATAAACAATTCTAATAGTGAACAATTCAAACAGTGAACAATTGAAACAGTGAACAATTGAAACAGTGAACAATTGAAACAGTGAACAATTGAGACAGTGTCCAGTGAACAAGTAACAAATAATATGTCTGAACAAATAAGTGGTTATAACTGCTTACTGCGCGCGATCTCATTGAGAAGTGTTGAATATTACTATAGTATACAATAGTTAGTGTTAAATGTGCAGTTAGAATTGCTCAGTGCATAAAACAAGGTTACCAGTTTAAGGTTCTACACATGTCATCAATTATTTTCATAGTAGTAACCGTGTATTAGTAATTGTGATACATTTTTATCATCATTTTAACTTTTACTTAACGTTATATAAACGTCACATCTTACACTAAATTGATAAAATTAGGGTATTTAAATACAGTGATAAAATACCACAAAAAAATATACCAAAAAAAGTATCGAACACATATTAGGATGCAGTATATTAACAATTAAATCCCCCCCCCCCGGCCCCCATATGTGACATATTAATTATTAAGGTAGATCCCCCCCCCATATAATGCGTGACATATTAACAATTAAGATCCCCCTTATGCGATTATGCGATAAACGTACCATTTAGTGAGTTTGTTAAGAACAGCTTGCAGGATCTTACCATTTAGTGAGTTTGTTAAGAACAGCTTGCAGGATCTTACCATTTAGTGAGTTTGTTAAGAACAGCTTGCAGGATCTTACCATTTAGTGAGTTTGTTAAGAACAGCTTGCAGGATCTTACCATTTAGTGAGTTTGTTAAGAACAGCTTGCAGGATCTTACCATTTAGTGAGTTTGTTAAGAACAGCTTGCAGGATCTTACCATTTAGTGAGTTTGTTAAGAACAGCTTGCAGGATCTTACCATTTAGTGAGTTTGTTAAGAACAGCTTGCAGGATCTGGTTGATGTTGAGAGCTGCTCCAGCGTGTTTAATAAGACTGGATACCAATCTACCGGAGTAAAGAGCCCCATACTCGCTCATTTCCGGGTCTAACATCTTAGCAATGAGCTGCATAGTGTACTCCATACCAGTTATACCATTAATAGTTAGAGCGGTGACTTGCTGGAATCCCAGCGCGAGACACGCCCGCACACACTCCCCGCCACTCTGCAGGATAGCTGTACTGTCCTTCACACACCCTATTGTAAGAGCCATCGCGGCCGGGAACACTTCCTTAATATACACCTGGGGGAGGGGACATTAGTGAGGTATACACCTGGGGGAGGGGAGATTAGTGAGGTATACACCTGGGGGAGGGGAGATTAGTGAGGTATACACCTGGGGGAGGGGAGATTAGTGAGGTATACACCTGGGGGAGGGGAGATTAGTGAGGTATACACCTGGGGGAGGGGAGATTAGTGAGGTATACACCTGGGGGAGGGGAGATTAGTGAGGTATACACCTGGGGGAGGGGAGATTAGTGAGGTATACACCTGGGGGAGGGGAGATTAGTGAGGTATACATCTGGGGGAGGGGAGATTAGTGAGGTATACACCTGGGGGAGGGGAGATTAGTGAGGTATACACCTGGGGGAGGGGAGATTAGTGAGGTATACACCTGGGGGAGGGGAGATTAGTGAGGTATACACCTGGGGGAGGGGAGATTAGTGAGGTATACACCTGGGGGAGGGGAGATTAGTGAGGTATACACCTGGGGGAGGGGAGATTAGTTAGGTATACACCTGGGGGAGGGGAGATTAGTGAGGTATACACCTGGGGGAGGGGAGATTAGTGAGGTATACACCTGGGGGAGGGGAGATTAGTGAGGTATACACCTGGGGGAGGGGAGATTAGTGAGGTATACACCTGGGGGAGGGGAGATTAGTGGGGTATACACCTGGGGGAGGGGAGATTAGTGAGGTATACACCTGGGGGAGGGGAGATTAGTGAGGTATACACCTGGGGGAGGGGAGATTAGTGAGGTATACACCTGGGGGAGGGGAGATTAGTGAGGTATACACCTGGGGGAGGGGAGATTAGTGAGGTATACACCTGGGGAGGGGAGATTAGTGAGGTATACACCTGGGGGAGGGGAGATTAGTGAGGTATACACCTGGGGGAGGGGAGATTAGTGAGGTATACACCTGGGGGAGGGGAGATTAGTTAGGTATACACCTGGGGGAGGGGAGATTAGTGAGGTATACACCTGGGGGAGGGGAGATTAGTGAGGTATACACCTGGGGGAGGGGAGATTAGTGAGGTATACACCTGGGGGAGGGGAGATTAGTGAGGTATACACCTGGGGGAGGGGAGATTAGTGAGGTATACACCTGGGGGAGGGGAGATTAGTGGGGTATACACCTGGGGGAGGGGAGATTAGTGAGGTATACACCTGGGGGAGGGGAGATTAGTGAGGTATACACCTGGGGGAGGGGAGATCAGTGAGGTATACACCTGGGGGAGGGGAGATTAGTGAGGTATACACCTGGGGGCGGGGAGATTAGTGAGGTATACACCTGGGGGAGGGGAGATTAGTGAGGTATACACCTGGGGGAGATGTGAGATTAGTGAGGTATACACCTGGGGGAGGGGAGATTAGTGAGGTATACACCTGGGGGAGATGTGAGATTAGTGAGGTATACACCTGGGGGAGGGGAGATTAGTGAGGTATACACCTGGGGGAGGGGAGATTAGTGAGGTATACACCTGGGGGAGGGGAGATTAGTGAGGTATACACCTGGGGGAGATGTGAGATTAGTGAGGTATACACCTGGGGGAGGGGAGATTAGTGAGGTATACACCTGGGGGAGGGGAGATTAGTGAGGTATACACCTGGGGGAGGGGAGATTAGTGAGGTATACACCTGGGGGAGGGGAGATTAGTGAGGTATACACCTGGGGGAGGGAAGATTAGTGAGGTATACACCTGGGGAGGGGAGATTAGTGAGGTATAAACCTGGGGGAGGGGACATTAGTGAGGTATACACCTGGGGGAGGGGAGATTAGTGAGGTATACACCTGGGGGAGGGGACATTAGTGAGGTATACACCTGGGGGAGGGGAGATTAGTGAGGTATACACCTGGGGGAGGGGAGATTAGTGAGGTATACACCTGGGGGAGGGGAGATTAGTGAGGTATACACCTGGGGGAGGGGAGATTAGTAAGGTATACACCTGGGGGAGGGGAGATTAGTGAGGTATACACCTGGGGGAGGGGACATTAGTGAGGTATACACCTAGGGGAGGGGAGATTAGTGGGGTATACACCTGGGGGAGGGGAGATTAGTGAGGTATACACCTGGGGGAGGGGACATTAGTGAGGTATACACCTGGGGGAGGGGAGATTAGTGAGGTATACACCTGGGGGAGGGGAGATTAGTGAGGTATACACCTGGGGGAGGGGAGATTAGTGAGGTATAAACCTGGGGGAGGGGACATTAGTGAGGTATACACCTGGGGGAGGGGAGATTAGTGAGGTATACACCTGGGGGAGGGGAGATTAGTGAGGTATACACCTGGGGGAGGGGAGATTAGTGAGGTATACACCTGGGGGAGGGGAGATTAGTGAGGTATACACCTGGTGGAGGGGAGATTAGTGAGGTATCAGGTATACACCTGGGGGAGGGGAGATTAGTGAGGTATACACCTGGGGGAGGGGAGATTAGTGAGGTATACACCTGGGGGAGGGGAGATTAGTGAGGTATACACCTGGGGGAGGGGAGATTAGTGAAGTATACACCTGGGGGAGGGGAGATTAGTGAAGTATACACCTGGGGGAGGGGAGATTAGTGAGGTATACACCTGGTGGAGGGGAGATTAGTGAGGTATCAGGTATACACCTGGGGGAGGGGAGATTAGTGAGGTATACACCTGGGGGAGGGGAGATTAGTGAGGTATACACCTGGGGGAGGGGAGATTAGTGAGGTATACACCTGGGGGAGGGGAGATTAGTGAAGTATACACCTGGGGGAGGGGAGATTAGTGAAGTATACACCTGGGGGAGGGGAGATTAGTGAGGTATACACCTGGGGGAGGGGAGATTAGTGAGGTATACACCTGGGGGAGGGGAGATTAGTGAGGTATACACCTGGGGGAGGGGAGATTAGTGAGGTATACACCTGGGGGAGGGGAGATTAGTGAGGTATACACCTGGGGGAGGGGAGATTAGTGAGGTATACACCTGGGGGAGGGGAGATTAGTGAGGTATACACCTGGGGGAGGGGAGATTAGTGAGGTATACACCTGGGGGAGGGGAGATTAGTGAGGTATACACCTGGGGGAGGGGAGATTAGTGAGGTATACACCTGGTGGAGGGGAGATTAGTGAGGTATACACCTGGGGGAGGGGAGATTAGTGGGGTATACACCTGGGGGAGGGGAGATTAGTGAGGTATACACCTGGGGGAGGGGAGATTAGTGAGGTATACACCTGGGGGAGGGGAGATTAGTGAGGTATACACCTGGGGGAGGGGAGATTAGTGAGGTATACACCTGGTGGAGGGGAGATTAGTGAGGTATCAGGTATACACCTGGGGGAGGGGAGATTAGTGAGGTATACACCTGGGGGAGGGGAGATTAGTGAGGTATACACCTGGGGGAGGGGAGATTAGTGAGGTATACACCTGGGGGAGGGGAGATTAGTGAAGTATACACCTGGGGGAGGGGAGATTAGTGAAGTATACACCTGGGGGAGGGGAGATTAGTGAGGTATACACCTGGGGGAGGGGAGATTAGTGAGGTATACACCTGGTGGAGGGGAGATTAGTGAGGTATACACCTGGGGGAGGGGAGATTAGTGAGGTATACACCTGGGGGAGGGGAGATTAGTGAGGTATACACCTGGGGGAGGGGAGATTAGTGAGGTATACACCTGGTGGAGGGGAGATTAGTGAGGTATACACCTGGGGGAGGGGAGATTAGTGGGGTATACACCTGGGGGAGGGGAGATTAGTGAGGTATACACCTGGGGGAGGGGAGATTAGTGAGGTATACACCTGGGGGAGGGGAGATTAGTGAGGTATACACCTGGGGGAGGGGAGATTAGTGAGGTATACACCTGGGGGAGGGGAGATTAGTGAGGTATACACCTGGGGGAGGGGAGATTAGTGAGGTATACACCTGGGGGAGGGGAGATTAGTGAAGTATACACCTGGGGGAGGGGAGATTAGTGAAGTATACACCTGGGGGAGGGGAGATTAGTGAGGTATACACCTGGGGGAGGGGAGATTAGTGAGGTATACACCTGGGGGAGGGGAGATTAGTGAGGTATACACCTGGGGGAGGGGAGATTAGTGAGGTATACACCTGGGGGAGGGGAGATTAGTGAGGTATACACCTGGGGGAGGGGAGATTAGTGAGGTATACACCTGGGGGAGGGGAGATTAGTGAGGTATACACCTGGTGGAGGGGAGATTAGTGAGGTATACACCTGGGGGAGGGGAGATTAGTGGGGTATACACCTGGGGGAGGGGAGATTAGTGAGGTATACACCTGGGGGAGGGGAGATTAGTGAGGTATACACCTGGGGGAGGGGAGATTAGTGAGGTATACACCTGGGGGAGGGGAGATTAGTGAGGTATACACCTGGTGGAGGGGAGATTAGTGAGGTATCAGGTATACACCTGGGGGAGGGGAGATTAGTGAGGTATACACCTGGGGGAGGGGAGATTAGTGAGGTATACACCTGGGGGAGGGGAGATTAGTGAGGTATACACCTGGGGGAGGGGAGATTAGTGAAGTATACACCTGGGGGAGGGGAGATTAGTGAAGTATACACCTGGGGGAGGGGAGATTAGTGAGGTATACACCTGGGGGAGGGGAGATTAGTGAGGTATACACCTGGTGGAGGGGAGATTAGTGAGGTATACACCTGGGGGAGGGGAGATTAGTGAGGTATACACCTGGGGGAGGGGAGATTAGTGAGGTATACACCTGGGGGAGGGGAGATTAGTGAGGTATACACCTGGTGGAGGGGAGATTAGTGAGGTATACACCTGGGGGAGGGGAGATTAGTGGGGTATACACCTGGGGGAGGGGAGATTAGTGAGGTATACACCTGGGGGAGGGGAGATTAGTGAGGTATACACCTGGGGGAGGGGAGATGTGAGGTATAACTAAAGACTGAAAACTAACATCAGGTAGAGGAGGAGGAGTTTTCCTGATGAAGGTAGTGAGGAGATCCAGGACCTCAGTTCTCATGTCCTCCTCATCCTCCTCGCTCTGCTTCTTAGGAGAAGTAGCAGTGGGGGATCTTAGAATCTGGAGCAGGACGGGTACTACATTGTTCTGTATAGACCCTCTGCATTCCGGTATTTCAGCTAGAGTTATCAGCACGTCATTAACCTGAGAGTAAGAGGGTTAGGGACCAGATATAGGGGGGGTTAGGGACCATATATAGGGGGGTTAGGGACCAGATATAGGGGGGTTAGGGACCATATATAGGGGGGTAAGGGACCAGATATAGGGGGGTTAGGGACCAGATATAGGGGGTTAGGGACCATTATATATAGGGGGTTATGGACCAGATATAGGGGGATTAGGGACCAGATATAGGGGGTTAGGGACCAGATATAGGGGGTTAGGGACCAGATATAGGGGGTTAGGGACCAGATATAGGGGGGTTAGGGACCAGATATAGGGGGGTTAGGGACCAGATATAAGGGGGTTAGGGACCAGATATAATAGGGGGTTAGGGACCAGATATAGGGGGGTTAGGGACCAGATATAGGGGGGTTAGGGACCAGATATTGGGGGGTTAGGGACCAGATATAGGGGGGTTAGGGACCAGATATAGGGGGGTTAGGGACCAGATATAGGGGGGTTAGGGACCAGATATAGGGGGGTTAGAGACCAGATATAGGGGGGTTAGGGACCAGATATGATATAGGGGGTTAGGGACCAGATATAGGGGGGTTAGGGACCATATTATATAGGGGGTTAGGGACCAGATATAGGGGGTTAGGGACCAGATATAGGGGGGTTAGGGACCAGATATAGGGGGGTAAGGGACCAGATATAGGACAGCAATAGCAGCAAATCTGGGGAAACTTTGAAATACACCACTTTGAAGCATTTGACCACCCCTTAAAAATCACAAATTATGAATTCTAGTAATCTGAATATTTACATAGGTCCAAAAATGTCATAGCTTCATGATAGTGCAACGAAATAAATCCCAGAACATTTTGGTGCTGATGTTACAGTGTACGCGTGCGCGCGCGCGCGTACTTAACCATCTGTAGGCCAACATATTTAGTTTATGCTTAATTTCTTTATATATTATGTCACCACTAGAGTGCCCAATACTTTTAGTGAAGGTGTAATGTAAAACGGTTAACCACCAACTGTGGTATATCAAAAAAACCCCAAAAGTGTATGTGTGCGCGCGCGCGCGTACTTAACCACCTGGAATGGCACAGCATTGAGATATCACCATAATTCCAAAAGCAGAGTACACCATCCAGGTGCCCAAAACTTTTGGCTATGGTCCCAATACCATAAAACCTTAGATGTGGCCATAATGTGGTTAAAACATGTTGATTTTGGACCTTCGGTCAACAGAAGCCATCACAAATTAACCATTATTCAGCACAATCTGACCTTTTGGTGCCTTATTTTGTTTTGATATTTGATTATGAGAGATAGCTGAAGGATAATAAGTGATTTTAAAGATAATGCAACAAAACTTGTGGCCGTATGGCGGTTAAAACGACCAAAAACACTAACTTTGGTCAATTTAAGACCTTTATTAACCATGATGGACGCAACATAGGACTCAGCAATGTTTCTGGTCATATAAATGAGCAGGTAGTTATATCTAGATAATGTAGCATGGCCAGCTATAGCTTTACAAAGCTAATATGTGCTCTAACAAGAAATGCGGCCGCTTTTCTTTTGTGGATGGCCGCTCAATTTCCCGATCCGTGATGGAGTATTTGATCATATTCCATACCACCTGTGGACCCCAGTCTTTACTGTTTATAAGCATGCAGATATGGCGGAGTGACAGGCCGAGCGCCGCCCAGTTGATATAATTCCATATTTAATTTGAAAATCGTGTATATTTCTATGTAACCATATGTTTATTGTTTATGCAACCTGACACGGATTTGTGCAAAATAGTAATACTAACTCAAAATAATAATAATATGCTATCAATTAGTCCCTAGCGGGATGCGTACATGATGAAATTAACAATGTACTTGAACATTTCAGCACCGCGCGCCAACAATTGTTTAATTCAGATTTTCGCGCAAAATAACTTTGCGCAGGCAGACACGTGGGCAAAACGTACGCAGACACGCACGCTCGCACGCAGGTACGGTCGCAAAGCTACCATATCCCAAAAAAAACCTTGATCGCTAACCCTTGTCCTTGACTCTTTTGTGCCTTCGGCACTTGAGTCATGGATCGGGAAAAAATGGTTAATTAGTGCAAATATAGGGTATTTTCGAGACATTTTAACCACCTTAGCTGCACATTGATCGGAATGCATGAACTTGGGGTCAATTATGCATTTGCAAACAAATATACACTCATTTGGATAGCAAACCATTATCTGAAGTTCATATTGTGGTTAATTTTCACTTTAATAGATGCCTTGTTCAACAGCCTAGCAAGTAATATAGCCCTTTTAACCACTTTTATGACAACATTTCTTGATAACTTTTATCAAGACCCTTCAAATGTCCTTTGTTGACCATAAAATGTTGACTAAAATCATTAATATTAATAATGTTTTGATTGGTGGTTAACAACAAATTTTGACATTTTAACCATCTTTTTAGCACTTTTTACAAATATTAACCACCTCAAATCAACCATACTATTAAATTGCACATTTGTGATAAAAAATTATCATCCATGCACAAATGAACAACCACCACTATACATCTATAATCAGAGCAATATTTATAGCTCACCGTTCATCTTCAATTTAACCACCATTAGGACCACAAAATGCCCCCCATGAGGTTTGAAAACTTTTGTGATAGTTGCACCATGATATGATCTCAATATAATGACTACTCAGTTCATAATATCATATCTCAAAATGGTGGTTAACCCTAAAACTGGTATTTTAACCACCATAGCATAGTGGCCACATAGATGACCCATTAACCACAATTATTCAACATAACCGTACTGCAGTGTTTTGTGCACCAGAAAAACATCACTCCAACATTGAGATTAACCACAATGAGCTGCAACATAATGTTGAAGTCAACATACTCAAATTGTGTGAAAAAAAGTCAATGTCCACCAAGTTTCCCCAGATTTGCTGCTATTGCTGAGGAGGGTTAGGGTTAGGGACCAGATAAAGGGGGGTTAGGGACCAGATATAGGGGGGTTATGGACCAGGTATAGGGGGTTAGGGTTAGGGACCAGATATAGGGGGTTAGGGTTAGGGACCAGATATAGGGGGGTAAGGGACCAGATATAGGGGGTTAGGGACCAGATATAGGGGGGTTAGGGACCAGATATAGGGGCCAGGGCCGGGGGGTAAGGGATGAAATATTATACTGAGAGGGAGTTAGGGGATATGGACCATATAAATGGTTCGTTGTGGAAAAATTGAGTACTTTCAACCTGATTTAATTAATTATTTAAGTTTCAACCTGATTTAATTGATTGTTTAAGTTTCAACCTGATTTAATTGATTGTTTAAGTTGCAACCTGACTGACGACGAAAGTGTCACTAGCGTGTTTAACGAACAGCTCGACCAGGAACGTGTTGACTTTGTCTGCCTCTACAGCTACAATATCAGGTCTGAAGCCCACACTGACTCTGAGGGCGTCTAGACAGAGCATGAGGAGGTCTCCCTCCATATTACCTGCCAGGTCAAACAGAGAGGGGATTATAAGCTCCATTGACTTGTGCAATACCTGAAACAGTACATACTTGTTTGTAATTTTCTACGTAAAGTTTGCAGTGGTGATATCAAATTCCCACTGAAATGCGAAACCGTATAATAAAAATGGCGGTGTAGAATAAAAAAGTATTACCAGTTTCTCTTCTGGCTCAGTGAGCTCAGCACACATAGCGTAGACCCCCTTCATAGCACCTATCATAACTGCAGCAGGAGTGCCTGGTTTGAGAGCAGTGCAGGTGTGTTCTAGCAGCGTGTTTAGAGACTCTTCCGAGGGGAGGCGCTTAATGTAGCTCCCTGTCATCCATATTAGTCTCCCTCGTAGATAAGGCTTATCTACATTTAGTCCGGGCAACACAACCGTGTTGTAGAAAGCTCCAAAGTTGAAATCCACCTTCTTAGCTTCCAAACACTCCTCCACCACGTCTCCACTGATGTTCATAGCTGTTGCACACGCTTCATATAACTTCCAGTTATACCCCTCCGCGATATTCCCGCAGGAGGAGATGTGCCGCGTGATGGCGTTCATGAGCGCTTCTACGTAGGACGTCTTCAGTTCAGTAGCCAGATCCATGAGCAGCTCCATAGCTCCTGTTCGTACTGTGTAGTTCATGCTATCCTCGTCATCATCCTCCACGTACTTCTCTGGGTCTTCATTCCACAACTCCATCTAGCAGAGTTACCATAACGTTAACAATTACTGTACAATCTAACTCCATCTAGCAGAGTTACCATAACGTTAACAATTACTGTACAATCTAACTCCATCTAGCAGGTATACCATAACGTTAACAATTACTGTACAATCTAACTCCATCTAGCAGGTATACCATAACGTTAACAATTACTGTACAATCTAACTCCATCTAGCAGAGTTACCATAACGTTAACAATTACTGTACAATCTAACTCCATCTAGCGGGTATACCATAACGTTAACAATTACTGTACAATCTAACTCCATCTAGCAGGTATACCATAACGTTAACAATTACTGTACATTCCACAACTCCATCTAGCAGGTATACCATAACGTTAACAATTACTGTACATTCCACAACTCCATCTAGCAGGTATACCATAACGTTAACAATTACTGTACAATCTAACTCCATCTAGCAGGTATACCATAACGTTAACAATTACTGTACAATCTAACTCCATCTAGCAGGTATACCATAACGTTAACAATTACTGTACAATCTAACTCCATCTAGCAGGTATACCATAACGTTAACAATTACTGTACAATCTAACTCCATCTAGCAGAGTTACCATAACGTTAACAATTACTGTACAATCTAACTCCATCTAGCAGGTATACCATAACGTTAACAATTACTGTACAATCTAACTCCATCTAGCAGGTATACCATAACGTTAACAATTACTGTACAATCTAACTCCATCTAGCAGGTATACCATAACGTTAACAATTACTGTACAATCTAACTCCATCTAGCAGGTGTACCATAACGTTAACAATTACTGTACATTCCACAACTCCATCTAGCAGAGTTACCATAACGTTAACAATTACTGTACAATCTAACTCCATCTAGCAGGTATACCATAACGTTAACAATTACTGTACAATCTAACTCCATCTAGCAGGTATACCATAACGTTAACAATTACTGTACAATCTAACTCCATCTAGCAGAGTTACCATAACGTTAACAATTACTGTACAATCTAACTCCATCTAGCAGGTATACCATAACGTTAACAATTACTGTACAATCTAACTCCATCTAGCAGAGTTACCATAACGTTAACAATTACTGTACAATCTAACTCCATCTAGCAGGTATACCATAACGTTAACAATTACTGTACAATCTAACTCCATGTAGCAGGTATACCATAACGTTAACAATTACTGTACAATCTAACTCCATCTAGCAGGTATACCATAACGTTAACAATTACTGTACAATCTAACTCCATCTAGCAGGTATACCATAACGTTAACAATTACTGTACAATCTAACTCCATCTAGCAGGTATACCATAACGTTAACAATTACTGTACAATCTAACTCCATCTAGCAGAGTTACCATAACGTTAACAATTACTGTACAATCTAACTCCATCTAGCAGAGTTACCATAACGTTAACAATTACTGTACAATCTAACTCCATCTAGCAGGTATACCATAACGTTAACAATTACTGTACAATCTAACTCCATCTAGCAGGTATACCATAACGTTAACAATTACTGTACATTCCACAACTCCATCTAGCAGGTATACCATAACGTTAACAATTACTGTACAATCTAACTCCATCTAGCAGGTATACCATAACGTTAACAATTACTGTACAATCTAACTCCATCTAGCGGGTATACCATAACGTTAACAATTACTGTACAATCTAACTCCATCTAGCAGGTATACCATAACGTTAACAATTACTGTACAATCTAACTCCATCTAGCAGAGTTACCATAACGTTAACAATTACTGTACAATCTAACTCCATCTAGCGGGTATACCATAACGTTAACAATTACTGTACAATCTAACTCCATCTAGCAGGTATACCATAACGTTAACAATTACTGTACATTCCACAACTCCATCTAGCAGGTATACCATAACGTTAACAATTACTGTACAATCTAACTCCATCTAGCAGGTATACCATAACGTTAACAATTACTGTACAATCTAACTCCATCTAGCGGGTATACCATAACGTTAACAATTACTGTACAATCTAACTCCATCTAGCAGGTATACCATAACGTTAACAATTACTGTACAATCTAACTCCATCTAGCAGGTATACCATAACGTTAACAATTACTGTACAATCTAACTCCATCTAGCAGGTATACCATAACGTTAACAATTACTGTACAATCTAACTCCATCTAGCAGGTATACCATAACGTTAACAATTACTGTACATTCCACAACTCCATCTAGCAGGTATACCATAACGTTAACAATTACTGTACATTCCACAACTCCATCTAGCAGGTATACCATAACGTTAACAATTACTGTACATTCCACAACTCCATCTAGCAGGTATACCATAACGTTAACAATTACTGTACAATCTAACTCCATCTAGCAGGTATACCATAACGTTAACAATTACTGTACAATCTAACTCCATCTAGCAGGTATACCATAACGTTAACAATTACTGTACAATCTAACTCCATGTAGCAGGTATACCATAACGTTAACAATTACTGTACAATCTAACTCCATCTAGCAGGTATACCATAACGTTAACAATTACTGTACAATCTAACTCCATCTAGCAGGTATACCATAACGTTAACAATTACTGTACAATCTAACTCCATGTAGCAGGTATACCATAACGTTAACAATTACTGTACAATCTAACTCCATCTAGCAGGTATACCATAACGTTAACAATTACTGTACAATCTAACTCCATCTAGCAGGTATACCATAACGTTAACAATTACTGTACAATCTAACTCCATCTAGCAGGTATACCATAACGTTAACAATTACTGTACAATCTAAATTCTAGCAGGTATACCATAACGTTAACAATTACTGTACAATCTAACTCCATCTAGCAGGTATACCATAACGTTAACAATTACTGTACAATCTAACTCCATCTAGCAGGTATACCATAACGTTAACAATTACTGTACAATCTAACTCCATCTAGCAGGTATACCATAACGTTAACAATTACTGTACAATCTAACTCCATCTAGCAGGTATACCATAACGTTAACAATTACTGTACAATCTAACTCCATCTAGCAGAGTTACCATAACGTTAACAATTACTGTACAATCTAACTCCATCTAGCAGGTATACCATATAAATAAATATTATTAAATACCGATACCTATTTTGAAATCGGAGGGAATAATAGGTATTTATAGGTATTTTACCAAAGATCGTCTAGGGCAGCTAAAAGTTACTTTTTTGGACGTTCCAGAAGATTGTGAGCAACATTAATTTTTGAAATTTTAGGTGAAAAATGAAAATTTCATTAAAAGATTTTTACTTGAGAATATTTTTAATTGTTGTTTAATTGTTGTTCAAAATGTTCAGAAACTTCTATATTGAAGAGATAGAAAAGTAAATAACGGGGGGTAATACCTGGTATTCAGGTATAGACAGGTAGGTGATGGGATAGAAAAGTAAATAACGGGGGTAATACCTGGTATTCAGGTATAGACAGGTAGGTGATGAGATAGAAAAGAACGTCAGGTAACACTTTCCTTATCATAGCCTTGTATTTCTTACGTTCCGTTAAAGCCTGTATAAACTCGAATATGGCCTGTACCAGACTCCCGAACCCCATCTCAGATCCGTCACTATCCACCTGAACATGTGAATAGTTTAGGGATTAGATATAGAGGGTGTCAAATGTCAATAGTTTAAGATTTTAGGAGAAGGCTATAGTGAAACCAAAAGACAATTGAAGTGAAATGTAAAATAGCTAACATCGTCCTCTACATAGTCAGGGTTGTTAACAACTGTAGTGATGTGATTCTCTGCATTCTTGGTGAGAAGGGTCCACAGCACTGGGAGAGCACTCGATACCTGTAGAAGTTGGTTGATATTTGACCAATTTATGGGCCAAAATCGATCAAATTTGGTGAGTATGCCCAAATATGGGCATATAGTTTTTAGCTCATAACTCAGTCCAATCTTAATGAAAATTCATATATTAGGACGCAATGAAACTACCGGACCACGATGTATGGGGACTTGCCACCCCATGGCAACATTAAAATATATCGACTCAGTTACATCGTGATGTACGAGTTTAGGGCACCACTAGCCCTAAAGGGGGGGGCACAATAGAGCATACTGACTACTAGATAGTACTCACCTTATCTCCCATCTGTTTAGGGAAAGTTTGTACGAGTTTAGATAGGAAGTTAACACACTCAGTCTGTAGTTTGTAATCCTGTCTGACAGAAACAGTAGCTCCTATCAGGGATATAGTGGTGTCCACCAGACCTGGCAGTATGGGGAACAGTAGGTTCTCATTAGCAGCGTGGTCCACTGTGTCCATGTGGCTGATTAGAGTGGTAAACACTCCGAATATGGAGAGGACGCGGGCACGTGTAGCTGGCCCGAACGTCTCCGTTTGGAAGAGTTGGATAAGCCGGGGGAAGAGGACTGGGGCCACTGTGTAGACCTGAAGAGTTAATAGTACTTAACCATCTGAGGTACCGAGAATGATAGATTACAAGTACTCGGCAATAAACTACAGTACCTACCGAAGTAAAAAATATCGCATAATTTTTGTGTTTCGAGCTAGGAAGGATGTAGAAACTTTTCCAATGTTGGAAAATGTTCGCAATGACCAAATTTATATATAACTATAACCCTTATAGTTATAACTATAAGGCTTATGATTCATAATATGCTCGTAAATGCTTAAAACTTGAACTTGAAAAACTTTATCGATAACTATTGTGGTCATATTTGGAATTCGATATTTGCATAATATATTTAAGTACCATTTTCGGGCTTTAGTATTGACGATATATTTTCAAGCATATGTTATTTTTTAGCTCAGTATTCATGATATTTTCTGGGATGACTAGTTCAAACACTGCTGAGTATAAGATTTATCTTAAAAGCGGTGTTATTAAATTTCAATTTATTATTATTATTATTATTTTTACACACAGCGTGGTTCACATTACCTGACTGTCAGTAATGTCACTAGCCAGCTCAGAGAGAACCTTCATAACTCCATGCACTTGGTTAGGGTCCCCAGTTCCCATCATACTCAGCAGCTGGTCAAACAGACCCGTCCAGTTGTCCGGGAAATCTACACAAGCTATCTCTGATACTACAGCTGCCACAGAGCTCCTGAAACCAAAACTCAGTCATTAACCTCGTTACTATCTCACATTACATACCAAAATACTCATGACACCCCGCCCCCCCCCCCCCCACATATCAGGGCAGCATGTGCCCCCCCCCCCCCCAGATATACGCCCCCCCCCCCCCCGCAGATATACGCATCAGGGCAGCATGTGTCCCCCCCCCCCCCCAGTATCAAGGCAGCATGTGTCCCCCCCCCCCCCCAGCATGTTTCCCCCCCCCCCCAGATATCAGGGCAGCATGTGTCACACGCCCCCTCCCCCCCCCCAAATATACGCCCCCCCCCCCCCCCAGATATATGTATAATCAGGGCAGCATGTGTCCCCCCCCCCAGTATCAGGGCAGCATGTGTCCCCCCCCCAGTATCAGGGCAGCATGTGTCCCCCCCCCCAGTATCAGGGCAGCATGTGTCCCCCCCCCCCCAGTATCAGGGCAGCATGTGTCCCCCCCCCAGTATCAGGGCAGCATGTGTCCCCCCCCCCCAGTATCAGGGCAGCATGTGTCCCCCCCCCCAGTATCAGGGCAGCATGTGTCCCCCCCCCCCAGTATCAGGGCAGCATGTGTCCCCCCCCCAGTATCAGGGCAGCATGTGCCCCCCCCCCCCCCCAGTATCAGGGCAGCATGTGTCCCCCCCCCCAGTATCAGGGCAGCATGTGTCCCCCCCCCCCCAGTATCAGGGCAGCATGTGTCCCCCCCCCCCCCCCAGTATCAGGGCAGCATGTGTCCCCCCCCCCCAGTATCAGGGCAGCATGTGTCCCCCCCCCCCAGTATCAGGGCAGCATGTGTCCCCCCCAGTATCAGGGCAGCATGTGTCCCCCCCCCCCAGTATCAGGGCAGCATGTGTCCCCCCCCCAGTATCAGGGCAGCATGTGTCCCCCCCCCCAGTATCAGGGCAGCATGTGTCCCCCCCCCCCCAGTATCAGGGCAGCATGTGTCCCCCCCCCAGTATCAGGGCAGCATGTGTCCCCCCCCCCCAGTATCAGGGCAGCATGTGTCCCCCCCCCCCCCAGTATCAGGGCAGCATGTGTCCCCCCCCCCCAGTATCAGGGCAGCATGTGCCCTCCCCCCCCCAGATATCAGGGCAGCATGTCACATGTGTCCACAGACCACAGTTAGCTTTGCTTCAACACGAGCTGACAATGCATTCCAGTGGATAGTATGTGAGCAACTCCTCTAACCTGATTTTACTAAGCCCCCCCCCCCCCCCCCCCCCCCCCCCCAGATATACTGTATAGTATCTGAGCAACTCCTCTAACCTGATTTTACTAAGCCCCCCCCCCCACCCCCCCCCCCCCCACCCCCCCCCCCCCCCCCCCCCCCCCAGATATCAGGGCAGCATGTCACATGTGTCCACAGACCACAGTTAGCTTTGCTTCAACACGAGCTGACAATGCATTCCAGTGGATAGTATCTGAGCAACTCCTCTAACCTGATTTTACTAAGCCCCCCCCCCCACCCCCCCCCCCCCCCCCCACCCCCCCCCCCCCCCCCCCCCCCCCCCCAGATATCAGGGCAGCATGTCACATGTGTCCACAGACCACAGTTAGCTTTGCTTCAACACGAGCTGACAATGCATTCCAGTGGTTACTGGATAGTATCTGAGCAACTCCTCTAACCTGATTTTACTAAGCCCCCCCCCCCCCCCCCCCCCCCCTCCAGATATACTGGATAGTATCTGAGCAACTTCTCTAACCTGATTTTACTAAGGCTGTCACCCAGACCTGGGAGAATGTTATTCTTGACGACCTCTTTTGTAGCTGTGTGTGGACAGTCCTGCCAGGAACTGTCTGCAAACTGTTTGAGTAGTACACCTGCCATCTGACGCACTGATAGAGGGGCGTCCTGAAGTTATCAAGTATAAATGAGATGTCTTGAGAAGGAACAAATTTCAATTGTCTTAAGATATATTTCCCTTGACGAGATTAGAAAAATAAAGAAATACAAAAACTGACTAACCTGTCGGAGTAGAATTGACAGAAGGCTGGTGGCATAGTCTGGATGCGGTTTGAAGACATTGAGTTGCTCCTGGGCTGCATCTTGTTCACTTTTATTAGCCGAGAGGGCCTGAGATATGAGGGGAGCTATTTGCTCAACAGACATGCTGCTACTGAAATGTATAAAGGTCAGGTGACATGCTGCTACTGAAATGTATAAATGTCAGGTGACATGCTGCTACTGAAATGTATAAAGGTCAGGTGACATGCTGCTACTGAAATGTAAAAAGGCCAGGTGACAGGTTGAGGCCGAATTTAGTGCTGATCAGAGCTTATGAGTAATTGCATTCCACCATTTCAAATTCCACAGTTTCCTCTTCTCCCTGGAATATGCTACCCTGATCATTATGAGCCGAAATCATTGTTACGATATCCGGCCACGTACCTTTCAAACTACTTCTTTAGCAGCCGGATTAAATGGGGGGGGGGGGGGGGGGGGGGCAATGGCATAATATGGACAATTTTATGCCATTTTAAAATTTAAAATGTAAAAAACCCACAATTTTTTACAAAATTTTAACCTAGTTAAGATTTAAGTTAAGGACGAAATAATTTAAATCAAATATTCATCTAGAATCTAAATAACATTTCGAACACCTAATAGACAATTTTTGCCCTTTTATTGTATTTCGACCTTCAACAATTTTCGAGCTCGAACACAAGGGTCCGACCTTGTATGTTTTGTAAAATTTTTAAAAAAAATGTATTTTAAATTATATCTTAAATTTGGTACCAAACGTTTTGCCTTTCCAAGCTGAAAATAATCCAGTAAAAATAAGTTTTCTACCCCGATATGGGGCAGGCCTCCCCTATAATGCAATAGGAGTTCGGAAGCGGGGAGACTGCCTTTCAATGTATGTATCGAGAATGACTCGGGCCGAAAATTTTCTAAGCAAAAAATTTTTAAAATTTTCCTGGAAACTACTTTTCCCCAAAGTTCATGTCACCCTGATCATTATTAGCCGAAAATATTTTTCAGGACCTAGCCCTCGAGAATTTTTCCTGGAAATTAATGAAATTTCTGATTGATATCCCGCCAATTACCTTCTAAACTGTTGGGCTCCGTGCAGACCACCCTACCTGTGGCTAAAGCTCTAATATACAAAAACAATACATAGCTGGGTGAGAAGTGTGTGGCGTTTCCTTAGCCCTGTGGACCACATAAAGGCTAGCTTATATTTAACATCTGAACCGAAATTTACAGTACTTTCTTGACGAATACAGGAAAGAAAAAATTTTTTTTAGGAAAGAAAAATTTTTATTTACCACAAAACAATCAATACATAATGTTATATTCATAAATAAATTCAAATTTCAATTTCAAACACATATACAGTACGCCGCGCACACAGCCACAATTTTCAATTGTTCAGAAATTCGTAGGTCAGCTGTAGTCGCTGCGCACAGGATCTATTTAATTGTTATCTTACAATTACATGTCGCATTTCTTAATTACTAGAGCCAAAATTTCAGAAGCAAAATAATTTAAAACATATTTCTGTCGTTCACGCAGTACAGGCCGTGAGCACTGCGATCTAATTAATAGATAGGATATAAAATAGTATAGTGAAATATCTACAAACTTTACATAAACAAATCTAGGAGAACTCAAAGCTCGTCTTCTGAGGAATGTAGGAATGAGATTGAAGGAAACGTTTTCAGTTTTGCAGTTTTTAAGTTCAAGATGCTGGTAAATTGTAACCCAATTTTTTTAAAGATTAGATTAGATTAAGAATAATGAAATAAAAATCATCACTAGTTTAAACATTCTTCCTGATTTCTTCATTTTTAGAACTGTAAAAATTTTACAGCCTTCGTCATTAAAAAAAACAAAATTTTTTAACATAATTGTGTAACAGTCGTCAACCAGGCCACTAAAATGAATTGCTATATAATAGGCGTATAGTTTATGTATATTGTGTAATAATCCCTCCGATTTTGATAAATTTTGTACCAAAAGGTGTCTAAAAATGTAAATATAACAATTTCATATTTAAGCAGAAATTCACTAAAAATGCTTTTTGCGGCGCTTGGTCACTGCGCGCACTTTTTCCGCGCAAATTTTTCAGTTTTTATAGCTTTTGGCTACAACGTCCACAGTTTTAGTAAATATTCAATATTTGGACCTGTGAATTTTTGAAACATTTTTGAAAAACTTGCTCCAGCTCCTTCAGATATTATAATTTTGGTACAAAAAGTTGCGTTTGACCAAGTTTATTACAATCCTGTACAAATTATTTCAAAAAATTTGATATTTTAGAAGTTATAGGTATTTTAAGCAAAACAATTATTCATTTTTCGTCCTTTTTACACACTTGCAATGCACAGGATAGGAGACCCACATAACAGGATAGGAGGCCCACATTCAGTTTATATATTGCCATTTCTTAAAATTTAACAGTACTTTTATTCTATTTGCTAACGATACCAATATCTTCACCCGCGCAATATTTGCGTGGGTATCTATAGCGAGCACGTACGTTTATTCTTGGCCGATAATCTTTCATCCGACCCGTGACATAACCAATAACGCTACAAAAGGTATATGATACAGGATCAAGGCCTCCACACATGCGACGGACATCCCTTTGAACTGAGTGATCGATCTTTCTTCGAAGACTCCGAAATTTCACTCCATTCCGTTCAATCAGCGATTAAAGACGCTCTTCGGGAAGCTAAGTTTCCCCAGAAATCACACCAGGTCAATCCATATCAAGCTGCACTGAACTGTTTTGGCGCCCCAGTGTTATTAGATCACTGTGCAATGACCTCAAATCTGGTCTGCAACCAAAAACATCCAGCCCTAGCAACCCTGAAGACAAAAACTTTCTGAAAGCCTTGCTCGCAGTCATCAACACCCGCTTAGGAGCATTAGGAAACAAAAACCTCCTGTTCAACGGCCTCAGAATTGTCTACTCATTTGACAGGACCTCCAGAATGCCGCTGAAGAACACACACAAAGACGATGATATGCCTCTTGTTATCCTCCATATCGGAAAGCCTAGAGACCTCAGCATCACCCCACTCAGATTTAACCCAGCCATAGAGGCCACCGAAGTCTGTGATGTGAGCCTAGGCAACTTCAGCCTAGTTACGCTGTCCCCTGAGTCAACTAAACACCTTCACTGCTACTTCCCTCCCGAGACTAAAAGAGGCGATAGCGGAGATGAACAAGTCCTGATCATTCCATATGTCGAAGATGTACCAGAAGTCAGAGATGACTCAGCAACCTCACTGACAACGAAATCGCAGCTCAACATCAGCGACATTGAACCCCCCACTCCTGATATAACACCACCAGTATCTACCACTGAAACGTCTGCTAGCCTACTCATAACTACGATCGAGACGTCGCTTCCGATCCCTACTGGCTCGACTACCGCTCCTGATGCCTACTGCACCAAACACGACATTACAAGTGTCGACCATTCCCTTGAATCAAGAAGCACAACTGATAAACCACACAGTGAAAACTCAGTTAATGTCATAGAGGGAGAAGAGATCAACTATGAAATACCTAATGTGAACAACATCGATCCTATTGTGTTTAGATACATTACACTTGATCTATTTAAAAACGCAGTGAATTCGCACAAAAAGAACGCCTTGATGTCCTTAATGTCAACCCTTGGATTAAAGGGCTCTAACAACGTCACTGCGAATAAGAAGAAGGTCTGCGATATTCTTGAAACGTGCAAGACCACTGGTAGTACGGAAACAATGAAACTGGTCACACATCTAACCAACAAACTCGGAGACTCGGTGATTAAATTGGAGCTCCTCGCAAACAATCTCCCCCTGAGTAACTCCGCCCGAGAAAGAAAAAACGACCTTGTTGCATTCTGCAAAAGCCAACACGGGTGTCATGTAACAACTCGACTCGTTTTTGACCGTCTAGACGAGAAACTACATGGGAACTTACTCTATGACAATACTATCCAGTCACAGAACACCGAATTTCCCGTAAATGAGCCAAATTCCGATAATCTTGGTGACCACACAACGCCAGATGGACACCCGGCCAGCAGCCCGGATACTAAACCCCACTCCACACCATCCCAGATGCAATCTTTTACTGAGAGCTCGAAAAGTAAAAAGTTGAAGAGCAAAAAGAAGAAAAAGCGGGATAAAGACTCTACTGGTTCAGGTGATGCTAGGATCTCTCTACAAATTGATGAGCAAATCACTCATGATAACAATGATGAAAACAGACAAAACCTGGGTGCTAACCCCGAGGACCACCTAGCCTGACACAGTCCAGTTGCAATAACTGCTCAGAGCTGAAACGGTCCATGTCGGTGCTTCAGGATAGCTTGCTTGAACTCAAAGATGAGATGCTACAACAAAAAGCAATCTCTGACCTCATTATATCATCGCCAACCACATCGGATAAAAGCATGTCAATTGCCATTAAAAACAAATTAGGCCCAATTGACACCAAACTGAATGGAATTAGGGATGATCTTGAGAAACTTCGAGCAGCAGTAGATGAGCAGAACATGATATTAGAGAAATTGACCAACTCCAAAGCCCAGTTGTCAGATAAACTAAACACTATGCAAAGTTTCACTCTTAAAGATATGAAAACAACCAATTCTGCAAACAAAATGAGAATCGAGACCCTTGAAATTGGCCATGAAAACTTAACAAAAGCCACAAAGGCAATTGCCAAGTCTACTCTCAACCAAACACACGAGTCAATTTTAGAATTGAAACATGAGCTTCGCCCTACCGTCGAGGCGAATGAAACCACAAGTGCCTCAAACAGGACGAGGATAGAGGTTCTCGAGTTAAATGTAGAGGAGACATTACAAGCACTGAGTAGCAGCAACCAATCCTTAGCTGACATCAAAGTAACTGCCCATAGTCCTCCTACAACCAACTCCAGGCCAACACTCAGCCATGGCAAACTGAGTACGCTTCGTGACAGCCCAACTAATGCCACAGTGGGTACGCCTCAGACAACAGCCCAGTTATGGTCAGAGGTTGCTAAAAAAGACGACAACAAAAGATTCACCGTAGCAAACAAGCATAACACCAAGAATCACCGTGAACAGGACAGACTTGGTAACAATGGCCATCGCAACCACGTACTGCTGCGGGAGAACAACAG